TTTCGGTTAACACAGATTAAATTTTAATTGGCCGAGATGAAAAGATGAAAGCCGCTCCAAAATTCTTTTTCGGTTGTCATTACGAAGTATGTTTGATTTACGTTGTATAATATCAGATCATTACGATCTACAACGAATTATATTTCACTTTAAACTGCATTTATATCAGTCCACATCGAAGGAAGGTTTCACTTTAGGTACCCTTATTTTCAGTCCATAAGGAAATTATCCGTCGTTGAACGGGCGCATTTCCGATTGAATTTGTGCGCTTACGACATCGAGGGATCGTAATCCACGTAATCAGCAAATATTTTCCCCTTATTGGTCTGTTTGCGCAAGGTGAATAAGCTTTCTTACGTTTTTTTTTCAATCTCAAAAAAACAACACGACTTTCAAATATCATTAAAGTTTGACTGCTGAGAAATTAACAGCATCCTCTGATTTTTTGGAATTTGGGTAATCTTTAGTTTCAGTTAATAGTAAATAGACGAACCTATGTCATATAATTACCAGCCTAGAGGCTCGTACACTGTTTGAAGAAACAGCTTGAGTATTTGACAAAAATATTTTTTAGTGCCAAAAAAATAAAATAATGAATTTAGAGTTTCATTTCTATTATATTGTCTTCAAAATTGTCCTGACAATGTAATATAAAAGAAAGCACGGACTGACATTAAAAAAAATTAAAATGACTGTTGCATGAAATATTAAGACAGCTTGCTCCCATTTGTATGGAAGATGAAAGGCTTCTGGGAATGATGAGACGATTTGCTGACAGTTATACGAGAGGAATTCTCAGAATGATATCAGGAAAATCCACTTAGGAAATCAGCGAAGACATAAGCGTGAGGGCGGGAGGCTCAAACTTAAGAGGGAATTGAATTTTAAAAGATGAGGCGCTACCACGATTGTAATAAATGAAAATAGCGCGTGGTGATAGGGAGGTTCTCTCGTTATGGCAAGTGTTACGCGATATAGCACATCAGATGACAGATGCATTATAGCACATCAGATGACAGATGCATTATAGCACATCAAATGACAGATGCATTATAGCACATCAGATGACAGATGCATTATAGCACGTTCGATTACACATGCATAATAACGTATAAGTTAAAAAGCAAGTGTGTACCGATAGCACGACAACGCTTCGTGGCTGTAAACATGCTTACTCAAAATCGAGAACTTGTCGGTGCCACAATTTCTTCTGAGAAGCAAAGTGCTCACTTAATGTCTTCACAATATTCGAGAGAATGTATCTGATAAATTGGGAAAATTTAGACTCCGATTTATCCATACCAAATTGTTCTCAAATATAACTAACATGCATGAATAGTACTTTGTTAAGTCTACTTGGTATAATCGTGAACTTCTATTAAATAACTTTACGGAATTTTCTGTCCGAAAAAATTCCTTTAATTAAGTACCGCATCGCTGTGTAAAAAGGCGTGTAGTCTGAAACAACGACACACAAGGTTTTTGTGCAAATACAAAAATACAAATAGAACATAATCGCACGAACTCTGGTCTGAAGGGCAGGCTATGTTAAAGATAAGGCGTCAGAAATTCTCTATTCAGAAGCTTATGGCCAAAGCCTTGAGTTGAGTTGGAAGCTCTCATCTACATGCATCAGCAGCCTCGCTCGAAGTGTCTTGTTCAAAAACATTCTATGTTTTCCTCAGCATTTATTGGTCAAATAACACGTTATTGGCTTCCGTGGTTCGATATCGCAAACCACTTCTTCAGATTGGAGGTTTTTTGCTAGGGCGCCGAGAGGTTTACACTCACTAGGAAAAAGCGATAAAAACAAGGAAACTTGTTTGTGAGACGGAAAGAAGCGATAATAATTTTGCTGCAAATAAAGAAAGTGTCGCAATCTAGCAGAAATCAGGTTTCAGAATAAAAAAACTTTCTTTAAGTTTCAATTCCTAAGAAAATTTATCAAGAGAGGCAATTTGGCCGTCAATTTTCACGTTAGAAAACCAAATTCCTAAAACTATTGTTATCAGCATTAGTCAGCTTTGAATTTACTTACAACTAATTCACGAAATGAAATTCAGATGAAAAAGTCCAATGTTTAGTGAATAGAATCAAAATTTGAAAGAATTCCAATAATATATATAAGTAACTTTCTTTAACCTTGATTCAAGGAGCATTGAATCCATCATCCCTTCCTGTAGTTAGAAATGATCGCGTCTATCAGCATTTGATGCTTACATTTGTTCTCCTTTATTGGACTTCCTCGGTCTGAATTGAATCAAGTGGAGCTACGTTATCTTTCCTCTCGCTGGGAACCACCAGAAATGACTGAAGTAATGTGAATTTTGAAAGGCTAGAATTTCCTTCAAGTTCGTCGTAATATCTAATGAAATAGAATACTACCGCTAACTATCATGGTCGATTGGTTATAGTCGTCAGTTTCAGAATATTTAAATTAAGCTGTCAGTATAATTAAAGTTTTTCAGAATTATTTAATAGTTCGCGTTGTGAATTATGTCATGATAAGTTAAAAATTTAACAATTATTGTTATATTTCGTTATGATAAATTACTTCTCCATGGCAAAAAGTTATGGGAAGTGATTGCTTTGCTCAAAGAGAGGCAGAAATGAATGTCATCATAATCAGATCCGTAAGGTGAGTATGATTAACCTCAAGAATCGAATTTCAAACGAATGGAAAATCGAATTTCAGTCATGATTGGAAAAATTATCTTAGATCCTGAAATTGAGCTTAGATTTCATTTCCCAGACATTTGAACAGGGGTGGATTTGATTACTACTGAACAAAACTTGAAGATATTAAGATATTAATTTATTAATTACCCTGTTAACAGAACAAAATGAAGCGACGTTGAGCAACACATTAATTCGCAAGTTTATTGAAAACAATGAATGCATATAACTTGACTTGTAACTGAAATAAACAAGTGAGTTTCGGCATTCTTCAACACTTAGAATATAAGAAAAAAAGCTCGACGCGTTTGAAGTCGATTTTTACAGCAAGAGCGGGAAAACGCGTAATGGTAAAAGTTTCAGCATTTTTCAAAATTTTCACAATATTAGTATTTAACATTTAAGGGGAGCGTCTACCTAAAAATTATCTCGGCTATTTACAGTCGGATCACTCTGAAACTTGGTACACATATGTAAAATGCAAAAAAACTCACATTTTGTTCGTGTACATTTTTCGAAAAAAATGAAAGAAAACGTGAAATTCATAGAAAACGGCTATAAAAGGGGGTACTGTAGAAATGGATCTAGTCCTAGGATTTTCAAGCTACAACATCGAGACACATATCATTCGATGCGTAAGGTCTTCATCCACAAAATTAAAGAGCCGTCATGTAAGTAAAAATTCACGTACACAGATGGCAGTGGTACCGTTGGATAGGGCAGAATGCCAGCTTTAAAATGAGTAGAAAAACCGAAAAAGTGAAATTTTTCAATTTTAGGGTAGACGCTCCCCTTAAACGCGCACACATTTTGTTCGTGTTGTATATAATTGTATGCAAAGCATTATAAAATTCCTTCATTTTAAACTGAAAATGATTTTAACGCCGTGTTGGGCTTTTTACAATGTGCAGAAAATATCACCTCAATTATTTCACAATCAAATGCAGCCTGCATACAGTATAGAAGCAGCCATTGGGAAGACACTCGAATGACAGTTATACGATTCAATCGCGATATAAAGAGAAAAAAGAATAATATAATACCTGAATTCACTGATATTTTCTTAATGTACACAAACAACGAAAGCAGTAGGAACAAAATGTTAGTCTTTCCTTGTCTTTTGTTGAGATAGGTGGTATATGAAGATGGTGCTTCAGGAAGAGAATTTAAAATTAAATTTGCTGCAACATTTATTGCGTCAAACGATCTCAAAATTATTTCTGATCTCATAAATTTTCTAGAATTTCACTCGGTTTCTATCAGTCGTAATGCTAATGAGGCTGTTGATTCGAAAAGCGAATGTTTTGCACCAAAAAAAAAAAGAAAACATATTTTTTTAACTTCGGCCTAGAGATTATTCTTTGCTAAATAAAGTCAAACGCAATTAAACGTCATATTGGCCCTATCCATTGAGCAAACACGGTTGGACAATTTTTCTCTTCAATTGGTGGAACCAAATCAGCGTAATTAGATTTTAAGTGACAAGTTCTAACCAGCCATGCGGACACGATTAGAATTCCAAACTGATGATGTGGCTCTGACTCTGCTTCTTCTGATAATTTTAGATTTATATTTATAATGTCATTGAATTTGATTTGTTTGAATGACTAGTAATTAGAGGTTGATGATGAATTTATTGAATGGAGAATAAAATTGCTCTACACTTCAATACTCGTGGATAATGGAAAAAATACGTTACAAGACTAGCTTGGTTAAATAAAGATCACAACTAAAGAAAAGTCTCATTAAATATTTATGGGAGCAAAGTTTTCAGTGAGTTCATAAGTTTCCTTTCAAAAACTAAGCCGTCACTATTTTCTGTAAAAAAACGTCACGAATTGATTGCCCAGTCCAACTTACATGCATGAACATACTCGAGCTCGGATGAAAACTCACATGTGACCTCAACTAATATCATGACACTAATTATTTCAATAACCTTACGGCAATATTGATCAATGAAACAAAAGAATCCTCAATGGAATAAAAAGCCGGATGGTGAAAAAGGTCATAATTGACAACCACATAGTAATAAAAAATTGTTGAAATGTTTTGCCTTATAGTCTGAAATTGGATCGAATCTCAGTAGCTTTTTCAACTCAGCACGTTACTGCGTTGGAGTCGGACAGACAGATGACAAAACTGTAACAATATCCTGTAGAAATTACAGACGAAACTGTCTCATAGCTGGACACAATACAAGATAAAATAATTCTCCAAGGAGAGTCGAGCGCATTGCCTGACGCGGGCTGACATGCAACGTTCCACAGCCCCATTGCCTAACTCGGGCTGACATGCAACGTTCCACAGCCTCATTGCCTGACTCGGGCTGACATGCCGCGTTCCACAGCCCAATTGCCTGACTCGGGCTGACATGCAGCGCCCCACAGCCTCATTGCCTGACTCGGGCTGACATGCAGCGTTCCACAGCCCCATTGCCTGACGCGGGCTGGTGCTGTCCTGACTCAGCGGAGCAAACACTTCGAAAAGTTTCCTAGCCTGCATTACCTGACAGAAGGAAATATCACTAATTGAACGTTTGAAGGACGATATTAAAAATAAAATATTAAAATATTAGTATTATAACTTCATAGAATAGATAATAAATAAATATAATAATAAATATTTCCACAGTTATACTGTAAGTTCTAGACAAAAATTATTACTGTGATAACCTTTCAGAAGTTAGAAATTCAGTACAACCGTATATTTAATTAATTGTATTGAGTTAGTTTTACTGTTGCAATGATCGTCAACTGTTGCTAAAGATGCATTATTCGCCGTCTATTTCAATTTTGATCAATAATCTTAACTATGCAACATGTGAAGAGTATTTAGTAAGTCATGAGTTTGAGCACAAGCGCTAGAGAGAAAGAATTTACCCACTCACTAAAAACTCTAGTGTTTCAAGTTTATTTTATTAGGGAATGCGATTTACTATTCCTCGTATTATTTAGTAGAAATTTTTCTCACTTATGGGCCAGCAATAAAATTCTTTATTTAAACTAATGTCAGAAAAATAATATCGTCAACCTATATTGGAAGTTCACTGATCACTATTATTCAAAAAATTTCACAGTCAAAAAAGAAGGGATTGGTAACAGCGTCTAAAAACACTCCCAACTTGCTATGCGAAACTGATTTAATATTTAATAAATTTATACAGATTAAAATAAAAAAATTGGACCACCGCTAAACTAAAAGAAATTCGAACCAAAGAAATGAAAACCAAAACATCATTCAGACCCGGTTGTACTCTATTTTAAACCAAAGCATCTTTAAGGCCACATTCTAGACCCATGTGCACTCTATATGAAAAGAAGGCTCTTGACTTCGTAACTCCTATCTCACAGAGTTCAAAGTTCGTCAATAAAATGCTGCTTCGAGAGTTTGCCTCTGCGAACACTGGATGCGAGCTTTCTAGAAGAATGAATCATTTAGCTGGATAGTGAATCTTCTATAATCTATAGTATGTCGACATAGCAGGAATGGCGCAAAACTTTGCTGTTACCAAACTAATAAAAACATTTCGATAATGGAGATAGATTACACTATTTTTGATGAAAATATTTAGGTACACATTTGTTCGAATAATTTCCTTTAAATCATTTGAGGTGAATTATATGTTGAAGGGAAGATAACTAAACTATCTAAGCCAGTTAAAAAATGCAAAGAATGATGAAAACACGTGTAGGAAGAAAACTAAGTTCGTGAGATAGAGAAAGAGAGAAAGTTCAAAGAGAAAGTCAATTTTGCTGGGTTGGGCTTCAACTCATCGAGATTTTGCTGGGCTGAAGCTAATCCCGATGTGCACTTGAGAAATTACTAGAGCTTCTTAAATGTTTGAATGATAAGTATAGTTATAAATAGCGGTAATTTACACTTTTTAATTTTATGTTCCAAAAGATTCATTGAAATACTATATATTGTGAGATTAGCTTATGAACTATTCTATATGAGCAGTTGACTCCAATTTATCACAAAAAACAGCAGAAGTTGAAGGAAATAGAAAAAAATTACTACTTAAAGACCTGATATATAATTGGTAGATTCAACGCACGCAATAAATGACTTGCAATATCCTTAATATATATTTGTATAATACTTCATTGCAATATTTTCATCAATGAATATAGAACAGTGTTGTCTCTTTATCACTTTGTATATCTTCAACTGAAAATTCCAATGCGGATTGAAATATGGGCAACGATTCCGTATCGAACCTAGATTGATTTATAGTGTGAACTTTATTTATGTAAATTAGCAAATTATCTTCCATCTAAGTAAATTTGAATAAACTTTGCAAGAAAAAAATGAAACATTCGAAACTAACCTAAGCAAAGCATCAGCACTAACTTGCTTAAAAATTCAAAAATAATAACACGAGCATGAAGATAATTGAATGTTTATCCTAATTTTGTGCTATTCACTTCTTCCTATATTCCATTTGGGGTTTTAACAGACAAAAGAAAAACAGACACTCTAGTTCCGAAAATTTTAGCCAAACAAATATTATTTTCATTTTATATACTTTGCTAAGAATTTATTTATCTATGCTAAATTAATCTTTGCTACAAAACATAAAACACAGAGAGCTTCGTTATAGCAATCCGATCTTTGCGGCAAAAGGAATGTGCAGTGTTGGGTGTTGAAGCAATTCAGTTGGCTTTGAGAATCATCAGCTGCGGTTACATTCAACTCGAATTCATCCTTTAATTTCAAAGTTATTCATGGGCCGTTGGCGAACTATTGTTCCGAGCTTCATGGGCAGGCCGACAGACCTGCTGTCATAAAATATGTAACAGCATAACTTATCCCACATAGAAAGACTTTGTTTCTACATAATTAATATTCAAACGGATTAAAGACTTTCAATAAGTTTCCATTATATAAGGTTTCAAATATCTATAATATAAGGGACCGAATAATTAAGGGTCCGAATGTCGATAGCAAATAATAATTATTTTTATATATTTATGTTTCAAGTTTCTGAAAGTTTACTTTATTTGGGCTCTATGCACGAGGTCACCTGGGCGATGAATAAAGATAGACATTCATTGACCACTACTGAAGATCCGGAGTAATGGTTCATGAATTGTTATTTACAATAGGTTTGTTATATTAGTGTTATCCATATTTGTTTGTCTAAATTATTTGTCTCTTGTATTTCAGAATTGTTAAAATTCCGTAGTATATGGGAAAATACATTGAAATGAAGATTACCTTCGAAATGAAAGATTAATTCAGAGCACATCTATACTATATCCAATGTCAATAAATCATACCTGTTTACTGACTCCAATATATTCAGTCTAGAATTGATGCCCCATTATTCAATTAATGCCCCCATTGTTCAATATGAAAAAAAAATTTCAAGGGCTAGGATCCTAGATTACGTATCAAGGCCGGTGCCTTCCAGGCATTCAGCCGCTTCTCTGAATTGCCCAAATTCTCTGCTAAAGGAATGTCCTTATTCCATTAAGTTCTTGAATTTAATATTCAAAACCAATAAGTGAAAAAATTACTATCTATTAATTTTATTAAATTTCCAAGTTTAATTATCATATTTTTTCGTGCAGCTAATTTGATATAAAGGCGCATGAATGAATACCATTAACCAACTTGTTCTGAAATTGAAACTGCATATGAAATTTTTATAAATTGTAATTATTAAAATGTGATGCAGCATATGTAAGATCTTTCACTTGTTATCAAACAAATCCATCTGTTAAAATTTTCTACTAACGCCACACGCAATAAAATTCTCATTCTAACCGTGGGCGCATGGAATTAAACCATATAAGTCGTCTTTCTATACAACAGGAACGAAAGCTTGTCCGACTTCGCGTTCTTCAACAATTTACTGATATCAAAAGTAAGAAGAAATTCTAAGGCTCAAGTCTTTTCGATTATCTCCTTTTTTCGGCTTTGGAAAGTTTGTTTAGTTTCGGAGGTTGGGCTTCAGCGTATAGAGAATAGAGAGAAAATTCAACGGTCCCTGCAGGACCACCATGTTAAGAACTGATGACTCCCGCGACGCAGCTTTAACAGTCTAGCACTCGCAGTTGACTAGTTCAACCTGCACTAAGGCGAGTGTTCGCTGTAGGCTCGATCAGCCTGCACTGAGGCGAGTGTTCGCAGTAGGTTAGATCAGCCTGTACTAAGGCGAGTGTTCGCTGTAGGCTAGTTCAACCTGCACTAAGGCGAGTGTTCGCAGTTGACTAGTTCAACCTGCACTAAGGCGCGTGTTCGCAGTTGACTAGTTCGACCTGCACTAAGGCGAGTGTTCGCAGTAGGCTAGATCAGCCTGCACTAAGGCGAGTGTTCGCTGTAGGCTAGATCAGCCTGCACTAAGGCGAGTGTTCGCTGTAGGCTAGATCACCCTGCACTAAGGCGAATGTCTGCAGTAGGCTAGTTCAACCACTAAGGCGAGTGTTCGCTGTAGGCTAGATCAGCCTGAACTAAGGCGAGTGTTCGCTGTAGGCTAGATCAGCCTGCACTAAGGCGAGTGTTCGTAGTAGGCTAGTTCAGCCTGCACTAAGGCGAGTGTTCGCTGTAGGCTAGTTCAGCCTGCACTAAGGCGAGTGTTCGCAGTTGACTAGTTCAACCTGCACTAAGGCGAGTGTTCACAGTAGGCTAGATCAGCCTGCACTAAGGCGAGTGTTCGCAGTAGGCTAGATCAGCCTGCACTAAGGCGAGTGTTTGCAGTAGGCTAGATCAACCTGCACTAAGGCGAATGTCTGCAGTAGGCTAGATCACCCTGCACTAAGGCGAATGTCTGCAGTAGGCTAGTTCAACCTGCACTAAGGCGAGTGTTCACAGTAGGCTAGATCACCCTGCACTAAGGCGAATGTCTGCAGTAGGCTAGATCACCCTGCACTAAGGCGAATGTCTGCAGTAGGCTAGATCACCCTGCACTAAGGCGAGTGTTCGCAGTAGGCTAGATCAGCCTGCACTAAGGCGAGTGTTCGCAGTAGGCTAGATCAACCTGCACTAAGGCGAGTGTTCGCAGTAGGCTAGATCAGCTTGCACTAAGGCAAGTGTTTGCAGTAGGCTAGATCAACCTGCACTAAGGCGAATGTCTGCAGTAGGCTAGATCACCCTGCACTAAGGCAAGTGTTTGCAGTAGGTTAGATAAGCCTGCACTAAGGCGAGTGTTCGCAGTAGGTTAGATAAGCCTGCACTAAGGCGAGTGTTCGCAGTAGGCTAGATCAACCTGCACCAAGGCGCGTTTTCGCAGTAGGCTAGATCAGCCTGCAATAAAACGCACGAAACTCTTTTTAACATTGCTGCACTCCCACTATCTGCTCTGGATAATTTTCGTCGTAGATAATATTTTCCTACCTTCGGGTAAGGTTAAAGGAAAGTCATAAATTAGGACAATTGGGCTTAGAGGCGGAGTTGCTGATCGAGAGACCGTTTTAGTGAAAGATGTCTATTCTTGGCAGGTACTAATTTATTAGACCGACTTTTATTTCGTTGTGCTTTAATTTGAATGCGTCGTTGAAGGCGGTCATTTTAAGATGTTTAGACATTTATTAATCATATACTTTGAATAAATAAAACTCCGAATAACAACCCAAAGTACTGATTACGACATGAATATGGATGTAAATAAATATCGTTGAAGGAAGATGAGAAGTAAAAAAAAATGAAAGAGTAGAGTAGACAATTTTGGAAGCTACTTTTTCAAAAACTTCTATCAGTATGCTGAACATCAGGCGTTGAAGTACGTTATTTCCTCTTAAGTCATTAATTTTGTTTAGTTTCCGAATTTTTCAAAGCTTAATTCAAACTGGTCTTAGGTTTTTATCTCTACATGGTGAGCTTCCACCTCTCAGTCATGCCATACCAAGAATCAAACAAGACTTTCAGCTCATGATATCAAAGATGTGCTAATAAATCGGTTAGTTTCAACCCCTATGTCAAAATAAATTGGTGATAATGATAAAATCATAAATTGCAGAAAGAAAATGTCATTGGATCGACTTTTAATCCCAGTTTTGATCAGCAGTAAGCCCATTACCTTAATTGAAACACAGACGTCGAAGTGCTCTTTATTGCACTATGGTGAAACAAAATCAGAAATCAAAAAATTACCTTGTAAGTAGAAATCAGTCCCTTTGACCATCATGCCCACCAAAATTCCGGATAACAGTTGTACTACTGCCCCAATTTGATATTCAAGGATTACTCACTCGTATCGAGACTTTCAATGACATAACGACTATATAAACGAAGAATATTTATGTCGTGGGTGCCTATCAAATTGGTATAGCAGAAAGATCTGAACAAATAACAAGTGGATTGCGAGAGAGAGAGGGCGAAGTTCGAATGAAAACACATGCCGGATCCTTAAAAAGAAGCACAAGTAAATAATCCAACCGGAAAAATCAATACTTTCCTGCATTTAGTGGTAAAAGCCACTAGATGGTCCACACTAACGCATTCCGTAACTTTGCCTGTCGTCGGATTATTAGCCTTGTATCAAGAAAGATCGCATACAGTATGTCGGTCACGATCAAGCAACGGTTACTGTCGCTGGCGATGCTATCCGACGTTAGAGTGAAAAAAGCTTTATCTTACGCGTCTGAGTGCAAGTAGGAGGAAATTGTCAACCGACATCATCACACACATTCTATTAGAAATATGACAGAGATCAGGCTAAAAACACATGAACACTGTTAGAAAAAACGGTGAAAAAACGGTCCCACCGGCATCCTAGTGGCCGGTCGCCCCGTGAAAATAAACTGTTTCGCCGTTTTTATCAGCTGTTTTACGGATTTCTGGTGTTAGGTTGAAATAAAAACGGTGAACGATGTTTCTTTTCACGCGCCGACCGGCCACTGAAACGCCGGTAATACCGTTAACGGTCATTTTTCTAACAGTGTATACACAGCAATTAAGTTGAAAACAATTCAATTGGGCATTCATAAATCGAAATTTATGCATGCAGCATGAATCATTTTGTAAGTCGAACAACCCACAATGCTCGCAGTGATATATTCCAGAAATTGCCTGAATTTCACATAGATTTTTTAATTTATAAAAAATTGCATTGAATACGCCGACATTGTCATTGCGTGTTCTGCTGGTAACGGCATCAACTGGACGCTGTTGTTCCGGTTTCTTCACAGTTGAATTCCTGAATTTAAAGTACTAGCAATATTTACTGCTTCCAAAATCATTATTAATCCTGAAATTTTACCGAAATACAATTATCTAACACTCTGTAATAAAAACACCAGCTGCATTCACAGGTTTCTATTTTGCGGCTAACAAGTTTGAAATAATAATTAGACAAATTCTTTAACAATTAAAATTTTACAGACGGTATCACGGCAGAACTCATATGCCGCTAAAAGTCTGGAAAATCATCTAACCGATCGACATTGGTTGACTTTAAATTGCAGCAAACAACATTCTGGGATACAGTTGTTAGCATGACATTAAAGATTATAAAAAAGAAGTTGTGAATGAGTATAATAAAATAGCCGGATAATTTGTTGCATGTATTGATATGCATTGGATTGAAATGCTTGTTGAATTATATTAATGGCATTGCGTGTTTTGCAAAGAGTTTCTACCTGAAATAAATATTTTTGCTTCATCTTTTCGACAGATATATTGAACAGATATATTCAACAGATATATTCAACACATATATTCAACAGATATATTCAATAGCTATATTCAACAGATATATTCAACACATATATTCAACAGATATATTCAATAGCTATATTCAACAGATATATTCAACAGATATATTCAACAGATATATTCAACACATATATTCAACAGATACATTCTACAGATATATTCAGTTATTCCAGCGTTTACTGTCATCTGCGACCAAACAAATTTAACAACATTGGGCTCTTGGCAACGCTCGTTGATCTCCTTGACGACGCGATATGGAAGTCAGAAAAAGCGAGCTATAAATCTCATGGCAGGCAAACAACGGTGAGATCCTCAGTAAAAGTTTCAGCGCGGGCTGATGGCTGTCGCTACGATAAATATTCTGGAATATCTTACATTCTAATCTTGGAATACCATCAATCTCGGCTAAAACACTTTTTGCATGCGTTTCCAATAATTTAGAATAATTCAGTTTAATCGATGTTCCTAGGAGAAATTCGGTGCGAGTCAGTGCAATTAAAGCACATACCATTGCTAGAAGAAGAAATGATTTTATACTAAAAATCCATCACGGAATGTACTACAGACTTAGTTAGCAAAATAAATTAGTTATACGGAGTTTATCGTATTGGAAGCCTTGGAAATTTTAGCGAATAAAATTTATTGAAAAATTCAGATTGCTTCATTTCGTTGGATATCGATGACAGACAGTATGCCTTTCGTACGTTGTTCTCCGAACTACAGTAAAGTATTTGAGTTTTTTTAGAAAATTTGCAACCTTTGTGAATTCTCATTGGCAATTCAGTACATTCTGTAACAAACACACAGAAGATTTAAAAAACCGGCACGGGACAGATAGAGTAAGATCTCAGTTAATGAGAAAAATTTTCAAGATAAAAATCCAAGCCCCCAATTGTATAACATTATACAATTATCGTGGATAATTAAAATTCTCATAAATATTAATGATTCTTATCAACTGACTTCGAGAGTAAAATCACGGTCTCAAAAAATCAAAGGCATTGAAATTTTGGATTACAAAATCTACAGACAAATCCCACATACATAACCACGTTAAGCCAGTCTTTTTGGTCAAAGTTATGCACGTCCGAATTGACGATGCTGAGGAAACTGTACGATCGCTTTTATTTTAATCTGCCATGTTCGGTCGTAAGTCTCGAGAATGTTTACGGAGCGCTGCCAAGCTCAGGCGCCGCCCCGTTATCTTTAAGTTACCCCTCCAATAAACATGAGCAAGACGATCAACTTCGGCGGGAAAGTTTAATGGCAAGGAAAGGTAGCGCCTTTCTGTTCAGCCTGGTACCTGTTGGAACAGTCTTCCGTTCAGGTACCTGTTGGAACATTCTTCTGGTCTTCTGTTCAGGTACCTGTTGGAACAGTCTTCTGTTCAGGTACCTGTTGGAACAGTCTTCTATTCAGGTACCTGTTGGAACATTCTTGTGCTCGGGAGAGAGAGAAAGGTAAGAAGGCATATCATTAAAAATTTGCATTTGAGTTAAATTTCTGTCTTAAATAGCTGTTGAGGTGGTGATGAAATAACGGTTAGATAAACAGTAGGCATACCTTTCACATTCTATATGTATATGTCATATTCAAATGCCATTTTAAATCTGCATCTATGCCATGGGCAAGTTTGGGTCTCCGTTTGTTTCACATTATTTTTTTTATCGAATATGAAGAATAATTAGAATTAAGATGGAACATAATATAATTATAGTTTTTATCGGGTAAAATCTGTTTTATTCGCTTGTCGTAATGTGTTTATAAATCATAATCTCATAGCAGCGGAGCATTTGTTGTTGCAAAGCAATTTTGAGACCCGCTATCTCTCTAATTGTCCTAATCGTTCATTAAACAAAGCGTTTGATCGCTGCGCGCTGAGCCTGCGACAACCTAAATAGCAACTTGTCACGTGAACACATTCTTACCAGCATCATGCATGTCAATACATTTGTAGCGGCATCATGTACCGTCAATACATTTGTAGCGGCATCATGTCACTCCAATACATTTGTACCTGCATCATGTCACGTCAATAGATTTGTAGCGGAATCATGACACGTCAATACATTTTTACCTGCATCATGTCACGTCCATACATTCGTTCGGTCATCGTCTCGTCTGAAGTCAGAAGGTCGGAGTTTGCAACACCGTCAGGATTTCGTCTGAAGACAATCGCCCTCACACGGGCCATTACCCGCAGCTGCTGCCCCGCTTCCTATACCAAAAGACGGCCATGAATCGACCATCTCGAGCCGATCCTTGGCAATGGATGGCCTCAGCAGCTCAGAAAGATGTCCTCTGCCTCAGTAAATCTATATTAATGAATTTTATTTCAAAAAGGGGATATGTCGTGCTTGGTTTACACGAGTTACATTTGTAATAATCGGCGGCTTTTGGCCTTTACGTAATGTTAACATTCATCTGTTTGTTGTCTGTCATGCATGCTGTTGATGTAAATTTATAACTATTTTGATGCACGAAAAATATTTACTAACATAAAATTTTGCAGCACGGTATCATAAGATAAGAAAGTCAATGATAATCAGTACAAAAAGTTTAATCGATCGTATAAAAAGTTTTCCGTGGGAATTTCGACCAGAAATTCAAATCGCAGTTACTGGACTACAGACTACGGCCATAATTTTAGGGATGGAAATATAATATGGACTAAGATTAGGCGTTCTTCGCTTTTTTAGGCGAATATTTTTGCTACGCCGAATATGCTCGTTTGAAAATAAGGCCAAACTGCATTTTTGATGTCAAAAGTTTCAATGTTTCGAATGATCGTTTAGCACGAATAAAGAATGAGAAGAAACAAAGAAAATCGAATAATCTAAATTAGTTTCTTTCATCTTCAGCCACATGCCGCAATCAATGCTCTGCAAAATCGGTATAGCAAATCTCCTTCTTAATTTTTTCTTTGCCAATCCCATGAATCGTATACTTGTAGGAACCCTCAATAAATTTTCTAAAGGATTCAGGTAGAGGCTTCGAGGAGGAAAGTCCACCACAGAATTTGCTTCATCATTAAGAAAAGGTTACATAACTAACATTGAGGCGAGATTTTGTGTATGACTGATTGTTAGATTAAAATAATCCTGCATCAACATACCTACGATAAATTGTGTTACATGAGATGTTATTCCTTATCATATTCACTAATTCTGCGAAAAATTTTTTAATGAGTATCAATGTGCTCCCATGTAGACAACAACAATAAAGCGATTTTTTTGCCCGTACCTTATTCCAAAGGTCATGCAGTTCATGCTACGCACTCATTACACGATGAGCGACCTCTTAGTGCAGAGCCCTCGTAAGATGACGGCTATTAATGATATTGACTTCTTTTTGTGATGGCTGGCAATAATTATTAATTTTACTTCCATAAAGATACGTTAATATTTTGATGACACCATTAAGCTTCGTATCGTAATTTTACTGTCGTGTGTGAGTAACTTTCAGTTCCACTAGTAGTTTGGAAAAAGTTTTTATCCAAGTTTATCAGTTAAGCGGCAAGTTTTTTTAAGACTGGACGGGTCTCCATTTCCCTTCAAAATAATTAACTTCAACAATGAGGAAGGCAATTATGTAAATACCACTTTGCTTAATGTATGATTAACGCATTGCAACTTGATCTATAATTGCATATAATCATTATATTATAATAACTATATGCAATTAATTATAATTAATAATGTTATAATTATTATTTATAATATCAAATGATACATAGATTCATGCATAGACTTCGTCTCGCCTCGAATCACCGACATGTGGAACAGCCTCTCTGATTACATCGTTAATGACGCTCCAAGTATGAACGTGTTCAAGACCAGACTAAATAAAGCTACGGAGAAATATATGTTCAGACTTGAAATGCCTAGCACCATATCGAACCTGGTGGAAGTCTGCATGGTGACCATTTCACACTATCGTCAGTTTTGAAAAGATCAAGTCAGTGGACCTGTTTTTAGATCTCCTGTGAACAAGTCACGAAAAGTACAAGAACCGGCGACAGGCCACATCAGGCTTTCAGCGCCGACATCACTGTGATATGATGTGAAATGAATCATTCATAACGCTCTGGTATTTCATAGCGATGGATGAATCTTTCCGAAATCGCTCAAGCATTTCTGAGCGATTGATGAATCATTCTGAAATCGCTCAAGCATTTCAGGCCAATGGATGAATTGATGTCGCGCAGTCTTTTCAGGTAGAAGGACGCATCATTTATTCCCGAAGTCATCATATAGTCGTCAGTCTAAAACGCTTGAAAGCTCGCATGCCTGCTTTATCCTTGTAACATCCTAGCGCTGGGCCGCTATACATACTCAAGCTGGACCAAAAAACCCTTGCGCTAGCTCGTTACATCCAGCGCTAAGCTCTACATACCTGCATTAAACCCCAACATTGCAGAGCTGCAACGCCACATCCTCTCCCTGGGCCGCTACACCCTCACCCTGGGCCGCTACACTCTCTCCCTGGACCGCTACACCCCCTCCCTGGGCCGCTACATCCTCTCCCTGGGCCGCTACATCCTCTCCCTGGACCGCTACACTCTCTCCCTGGGCCGCTACATCCTCTCCCTGGACCGCTACACCCTCTCCCTGGGCCGCTACATCCTCTCCCTGGGCCGCTACATCCTCTCCCTGGGCCGCTACATCTTCTCCCTGGGCCGCTACATCCTCTCCCTGGGTCGTTACAGCCTCTCCTTGGGCCGCTACATCCTCTCTCTGGGCTGCTACATCTTCTCCCTGGGCCGCTACATCCTCTCCCGGGGCCGCTACATCCTCTCCCTGGACCGCTACACTCTCTCCCTGGGCCGTTACATCCTCTCCCTGGACCGCTACACCCTCTCCCTGGGCCGCTACATCCTCTCCCTGTGCCGCTACATCCTCTCCCTGAACCGCCACATCCTCTTCCTGGGCCGCTACATCCTCTCCCTGGGCCGCTACATCCTCGCCCTGGGCCGCTACAGCCTCTCCCTGGACCGCTACATCCTCTCCCTGGGCCGCAACGTTCTCTCGCGTGGCCGCCTCACATAAAGCAGTGATGGCCGCGCACGAGAGGAAAGAGAACTCTTGCGTCGGCCATTTGTGTTGATGGCCAGCCAATGACCACCCATAACTCAACCTCGACAGGGGCGAGCTCTCAGGACTAAACGCTCAATTTTTAGCAGTTGTCTGCTTATGGTAAAGTAAGAGTAGAAAGTTTTTGAAATGGGGAAAAAGATTCTTAAAACGGACCACATTTCGACTTTTCGAGAAATGTAAGACAACTTACTACGCGGACGGGAATAATTGGAAATACGAAAAAAAGATTCAAATCTGTTACCGATCTACTCCATCACGAGGGCGGTGCGAATGGAACAAATATGTTACCGGAAATCTAAAATAAATTGAATTTTTTCATCCTGAGCTGACACGTAACAATAGCACGCTGTTCTTTTAGGTGTTCATACCTAACGTAACTTATTAATCAATCCACGTATAGATGAAATAATCACTTAACGCTTACTGCAAAACGTTTAAGCAGGAAACTGTATAGTTGTTAAGACTTTCTTCTTATTTGTCCAATGTAAGGCCAGAACTCCTAATGTTTTATTGAAGGGAGAGACTGTCCTTTAACCGCACCGTAAACGTAATAAAAGCGAGCGTCCCTGCGCCGGTAAACGCGATAAAACGTCAGCTTGTGTTCGAGAGCCTACATCGAACTGGCCGCTGCAGTACAGACTTTGGACACGCCTTTTTCCCGGACGCCTTTGTCCCGGCGCGCGTTTTGACGTCTGCTGCACATACAGTTAAGCAAAGCACCCTATTTCAAAGCAGAAAGTGGGGTAAAATGTCATAACATTGCAGTATGAAACTTTGAGCTGCAAATTGCGTTCCAGAATGGGTATTGAACACGCTCTTTGATGCGCAATATGCTGAGAGAAATAAAGTTCGTTCACAATTGTACGGGAAAGATTGGAAAAATTTAGGAACCTGGATTTAAATCATGTCAACAAAACGAGGTCTTTGTAAGCTAGCATGCACGAAAGATTGTTAGATTCAAGGATAGTAAATCAATTAAATTCCCATTGGTCGTGATAATGTTCTATAATCTACCTTCACTGTTTAGCACGAGTTAGCTGGGCAGACGTGTTACCACAATTGCGTGCCAATTGGGTCTCGCCTTGAAGTTTTCTTTCGTAAATTTATTTGAAATAATATTATATATGAATATATGTTTAGCATATTTTAAAGAGAACAATTTATGTTGAAGTTTGTAAATTTTGATATCATGAAATCGTGATCACGATGCTCTATACAAATCCCAATAAAGATATGGCGATTTCTGTTTGACAATGGAATATGCATATCTCAGTCTCAAAAAGTTCTCATACTTAGATTATTCTCCGGATTTACTGAAACATTATTGATCTCCTAACCAACGAAATGAAACGCTCCCAGGTCCCATTCCAGACTTGAAATCCCATAATGTCAAACGCGGTCTCTGATATATAAATTTTTTCTGATCACTTCTTCTCAGGACATTTTTACTGCTACGAAAAACCGAAGATATTTTAGGTGCGCAAGTGATCGGTTATAAAAGTAGGACATGAACTTTAGTGCATGAAAGCAGCAAGGTTCCTGTGTACGGATTTTCAGATTTTCTCATTTTAGCCATTTTGTCGTGCAGAATAAAATGATCTGAAGCGTCGTATAAACACCGTGGCTTGTGAACGTTGAAGGAGTCTCAGCATTTGAGATGCCTACCAAATATCGCCTTGCTTTCACAAAAGAGGATAATATTAGCTCTGAATATTGAGCTCCTAGCACTCTAGATCGGCCTGATATTGGAGGCCAAGTGACAGCTGCCATCAGAATTATTGTAATGTTCAGGTATAGCGAAGAAGTTTTTAGGCAAACCAGAATTAGGTTCAAACAAAGGATGCATGAACTTCCGACGGATGGTTACCAATTAACACTTTTGTAAAATAACATTTAAAAATATCCACACATGTAGTTTTGTCATTTATTATTAATCGTAAATTATTGTGTCACCAACTTGATTGGTTGCCAGGAGACAGCAAAATGCCGCACAGCTCGACGACACTAACCGGAACCTTCAATGCAATCAACTTCAAGAAAAACTTTTAAAATGGAATATGCTGACGAAGGAGAATGTTGCGAGGAAATACGCTCACGA